TCAATTTACAAATCTATGTTTAGAGTTTATTTGTTGATAGATGAATATTTTAGATCAAGCTTGTAAAATCTATGTCTAGAGTGATACAAATCATAAATGGATCTTTAAGAACAAAAACATTCAACATATATCAATCATCCACTTATTCACATACAAAGAGATCAAAATACAAGCTAAGATAAACTACCTCTACCTTTGATACAAAGGATTTAGCTACCCATAGTCATGGTAGCTTGCTTTACAAGAAAAGAAAGAAGATGAATGGACATCCAAGATGAAGAATCGATCTAGGAAGCAAATCCAGCTTCTACTTGTAAAATATTACTTCTTGATGAACAAATGATGATCTTAGGGTTTTTCTCCCAAGCCAATGTTTCTATTCTAAAAAACAGTACAAAAATATATAAACAGAATCTATCCTGCTCACACTGCGAACTTTACTTATAGGCACTTGAAGTGCCTATGAACAATTAAACTGCCCCTGAGGTTTTCTTGACTTCGCATTGCGAAGCTCCTATTTGCAAGACCTTGCACTGACACCAGGAAGGGGTTTAGCTACTGCCATTCAAATGTTTTGGTTCGCTTTGGCCTCGCCTTGAACTTGCATTGAGAGCTTGCTTGTCATTCGCTACTTGCTCGCACTGCAAACCTGCTGGATTCTTCCTCATTTATTTGGATTCCTTTCCCATTCAACTGTGCCTTGTTCTTTGATAATCAACCTAATTCCTACACAATAGCACACAAGGCATTCAAAGGAAAAATTAATTTCATTGAAGAATCACATAAGAACATGGACTAAATCAATTGAAACTTGAGAAATGAGTTGAAAAATTCCAAGAATAAAGGTTCAAAATAAGACATATTTTGCATTCAACAAGTACGGATAAACAGGCCATTGACTATTGTTTCCCACAACTCATGATTTATGCTTTGAAGAAAAATTATAAACCTAGCTTGCCAAATATCAAATCTACTATCATTAAAAAATGGTGGTGTGTTTAGAAAAGATCTCTTGTTGAAAATCATCTTCCTTCTGAAACGATTAGTCTTTAATAAGAAGTTATACTCTAATTCATTTGTTGCACTTGAGACTTCACACACACAAGAGAGAGAGAGAGAGAGAGAGAGAGAGAGAGAGAGAGAGAGAGAGAGAGAGAGAGAGAGAGAGAGAGAGAGAGAGAGAGAGAAGGTGAATTGTATGGTTTAGAAAAAAGTGATTTTGAAAATTTTGCAAAGTAAAGTTAGAGTTTAGAAACATTTTAAATAATTAGCAATGAAAAAGATAATTTGCAGAAAATAAATAGTGGAAAAGTAAAGAGTTAATAGAAAGAGAAGACACTGGGAGTTATAGATGTTTGGTCAAAAATAAAAGGACCCACTCCTCTCCCTAAGAACTAATTTTGAGAGTTTCCAATAAACTTAAGAGCTTTTAATAGATTGTACTCACGGACCCATTTATACAAGGAAATATGGTTGACCTCCAACCAAACAATACAAGACTTTAGAATATGGCAGTTTAAGTTTTCTCTTCCAAACAACATATTGAATCGGTTAGTCTTCAAGTTCTTAAACCTTGCAAGATTTTATCACGGACTGAATTCAAAAACCTCAAACCTTAGTTTTACACTGACTAACCAATAACCTGAAAGATTTTAATATTGTGTTAATCTCCAACCTTATCCAAAATTTCACCACGACCTAAGCTTTAACTAATCTTGTTTTTACTACAGGCTTACTAAGAACCTTAATTGAGATTGAATCACACAATCCCTTAAACCAATCCTTTTATGGCTTTAGCTTCTAATCTAAAAAAAAAATCCATAATTGGATATTATGTTCAACCAAGGTATAAAAAAAAGTTCCTTGGTGAACTCACAATTCTACCATTTTAGAATTATACTTTAATTCTCACTCACAAAAGAAATTTTCTCAAAAAGGCACAAAGGCTAAAGTATTAGTGAGAGAACGTAAAAAAGAAGTTTTAGAGAGAGAGAGAGAGAGAGAGAGAGAGTAAAAAAGGACTTTTCTCACATCACCTACGAAACAAGGTTCCAAAAAACCTTTGTTTAGATGCAGACCAGTCGTCCTTTGAATGAGAACGCTTCAACATTCCAGTTAAAACAAAACGAACACCAACAAGTCTAAAACAACAACTCAAACAACAGATAAAAACACATAACACTGCAAAAATATCTAAGAGTATACAACAATCAAAATAATATAATCTATTTCAGACATCATATCCCTAACTTGATTGTCATTCTTAACTGACAACCCATGATGTTGGATGTCATCATTATCATTCACAATAGATATTTATAAAATAAGTCAGTCTATTCTTATAACTCTTTCACCATCTTTAATCTCTTCGATAACCAATGGTTCAAATTATTCTCAAGTTACTTGAAATTCCAATTTCGCTAAAAATATATCTTCTTCGCAACCTTGATTTTCAAATAAAAACATGCTCATAAATACTCGTATTAGAACACATGAACAAAAAAGTTGAAAAAAAAAGAGAGCAAAAATGATTCACAAGACACCTTTATTTTTATCGGATTTACCACGTGGACCTATACAAGATTTTTTTCCTAAACATAACTTAATAGAAATTAATTAGATATAATTTTTTAAGTTTATTATCATATTATTAATTAATCTGTTTAATAATAAAATTAACCTAAAATAATTTTTTTTATCATTTACTTTTAATTTGTTTGATTTTATTATTATGGAGATTGATTAATTATTTTTTAATAAACAATTATTATTAATTAAATAAAAAATGATTAAAATAATTAAGATAAATAAAAAAATTGTCTAACGAAGGCTCATTCTATGAATTACTCCCTCCGTTCCTTTATAAGTGTCATTTTTTGAATAATTATTTTTCCTTTTTAATTGTCACATACAAAATTCAAGATAGTATTAAACGCATTTTTGTCAAAATTATCTCTAGATAATTATTATAGAGAAAAAAAAATAAAATTAATGTAATATATAATTAAGAGTATTATAACTAAAAAAGTAATTATTGTATAAAAAGTAACAATATTGATTAATTTTCTTAGCTATGTAAAAAATAAAAATGTGACACTTTAAAAAAAACAGATGAAATAATTCATAATTCTAAAGAATCTGACCAATCCTTTTTCAGACTCATTACAAGATGTATTTTTTAGATAAATATTCCAATACTCTTCCGTTGGTTACCGGTACTCCTTTTAATAAAATATTCACATTTAATATTATATAATATTTTATATATATTTTTATTTTAAATCAATTTATATTAAAAAATGTTCAATTATTTATCATGAATAACTAAAAATTATCATTTTTTATTTAATAAGGTGATAGTTTAATACTTAATAATTATGAGTGTATTTGAATTTTAAAAAAATAAATTAAAAGTATTAATGAGATGATACTTATTTTAAAACAAATGTTTTAGGTTAAAAAGATAATTATTTTGAAATAGAGATCGTAGTTATTTATTTTATGTTTTTATTATTTGCTTTTAAATTTTTTTCTCTTGGATAAAAAAAAATTATTCAAGCATGTTTTATATCCGGAAATTTTACCTCATATCTCATCATTTATTCTTCTACCCCTACCTTATATTTTTTTGACCAAAGTATCCTCATATAAATATGTATAAAATTTTCCTAGTTTAATTATTTGATCTAGAATTTAATAAGTAAATCTATCTTTAAAAGCTACTTTATCAATATTCTAAGTAAACATGACAAATATTATCTATCTATACTATTATATATCTTATAATGTCTCCATAAAAAATTTTCTGCTAAGTTTTTTTCTTTAATTAATTAATTGAACATAAACATAACTTTGTGAAAAAAATGTATAAACTGATGAGATATAAATTTGATTAGTGAGAAGATAACTTTGTGGAAAAAATGGAATAAAATAATTGAAATTAGTGGGGACTTACTTTAAATTTTGTGGAAAAAATGGAATAAAATAATGAAATTAGTGGGGCTATAAAAAACTTTAATCGTTTTATGAATTATATTTATTAATTTATTTTTGTATTAAGTAATTTTAAGGTTTGCATTATATCTAATATTTTTTTTTAATTTAATATTACTATCTGTCTTATTAATGTGAGGTTAAAAAGATGTTATGAGTGAAGAGAGGTTAATTGTTTGCATGATATGAATAAAGAAGGTTGAGCGGAGAGAAATTTGAAAAATAAACATGTTAAATATTTTAATTTAATTATTATTTAATTATGAATAATAATAATAATACTTAATTATTAATAATAAAAGATTAATTAATAATATTTAATTATTAATAATAAAATAAGCATGTTAAAAAATTCGGAACGTATTTTATTATACTTGTTAATTAATAAATTATTTAAAATATAAGAATGTGACTTAATTGGAAGTTTTAAATGGAGTTAATAATAAATATATTTATATTTAATTAATTAATTAGAGGAAAAAATTTTAGTGAAAATTTTTTGATGGAGACATTATGAGATTATATAATAATATAGATAGATAATATTTGCCATTTTTGTTAAGAATATTAATAATGTGGTTTTTAAAGATAGATTTATTTATTAAATTATGGATCAAATAATTAAATCAAAAAAAATTTTATATTTATTTAAATGATGATATTTTGGTAAAAAAAGTATAACATAGGAGTAGGAGAATAAATGATGGGGTATTGGGTAAATTTTATTTTATATCCACCTTTTACTATTTTGATGGATATCCATGTTTTATTGTTTCCTTGCCACGTTCAAAGGAAGTTGAAACGTAAAAAAAATGTAAAAAGCAAAATCAAGAAAGTATAATCATCACTCATCACCGTTACTTACTCATCTTCCTCAATAAAAATTATTTACTTCATCATTTTTACACCGTGAACCTACCTCTCTTTCTCACGCGAATAAATCTCACACGAATAAAGAAAAAAACAAAAAAAAATTAAAAAATTCTCAGAACCGGTAACTAACTGACATGTACTCACGTAACCCGACCCGATTTCGATCCGCCAAACTCCTCGCCTCGAGGGCGGAGCGTTTACTTGGCGTCTCACCCCACGCGCCGCCACTCGATAATTCTACACCCTTCGAATTCAGCGAAGACGACGTCGTTTTCGGTTTCGACTATTCTCACTCTTCTTCTTCTTTTCCCACCCCCCGCCTCCCTCACCAATACAACCTCCATCAGCATCATCACAGAAATCCTTCTCCCTTAGGTCCTCCAGATTCGTCTGGAATCCCTCCCGTCTCGCCGGAAAACAAAGAATCTCCCAATGTGGTAGACGGTTCGGATCATTTGGACGATGATATCGACTCTGTTTCACTCTCGAGTTTCGTTTCCTCCAATTCATCTTCATCCACCACAGCGCAACCGATTCTCGTCCAGAGATCGGCGTCAGACCGAACTCGGCCGTTTCCGTCGCTCGCGGCGACTAAATTCTACCATTCCGCGCCGATTAATATTCCGATTATGACACCAGAGATGGCAGCGCTAGCAAGGAAATACGAAGAGGAAGAAGCACGAGAATTGGCTGAGGAAGAGGATTTCAAGAACAAGATTCCTCCGCATGAGTTTCTCGCGAAACAAGTGGATTTTTCGCGGATGCATTCGTGTTCGTTGTTCGAAGGAGTTGGAAGAACCCTAAAGGGAAGAGATATGCGGAAAGTTCGGAATGCCGTTTTGAGCCAAACAGGTTTCATTGATTGAAAAACAACGAGTTTTGAATTTTTTTTCTTCGTTTTTTTCTTCTTTTTGATTCTTACATTTCATCCTATTTTCTTTGTTTTCGATATCAGCCTATATTGCAAATGGATAAAAACCCTAATACATGAATATGAAAATTTTGAAGATCTGGTCAATAATGGTTTATTATAGAAGCAAAGTATTTCAGTTTTATTATTTCTTTAATCAACAAAAGTATATAATTCTTTTATGATCAATGGGTTCTGTTGGAGGATATTGCTCTGAATTTTGAATAATTTATTTGAATTATATAACACTATATATTTGAATATCATAAAGTGAATCGAAGAGTGGAGTAGAACTTACCCGAATGGAGCCAGATGGAATGAAGATCTTATTTCATTGTTTGAAAATTTTGAAACTTTATAACATAAATTCTTCATTCTGTCTGAATCAAAGGGAAAGAAATATGGTGGAAAGAGATGAAGTGAAATTCAGAACACTATTATGCTTTGCTCTATCATATTTTAAACAATCCAAATAATTGGATATCACTCCATTTCATCTCTTACCGCGCTGCCCTTTCCATCTATCTAAAAAGAAAGCCTTAATCAAGCAGTTTATTTCTGTTTCATAGAACTTTTGTTTGGAAATTCTTGTTGAAACTATGTGGTGCTTGATATGATTGTAAGTCACTTGTAGTATAGTTTCTTACTATTTTTGGATTAGTTTGGTATAGGAAACATTCTTCCTTTTTATGGTTTTGTTGATGGTTGATTTAAGAATCACGATGAGTATGTTGTGGATGATGGAAAAAAAGTTGTTGTCTAAAATCTTACTGACTCGCAAGCCGAAATGTTGGTCTGATTATGCAAGTTATTCCTATAGCATAGTGAATGGTAACAGAACTAAGCCTTTGGCTTTGGGTTTTCATCTTTGCTTTGCTAGGAATCATAGAGGATAGAAATTGGAATGTAGAAGATAAGTAAAGTTGAATGGTTGGTTTCGTTTCTTACCATATCATGCAGTCACCTTACTCCTGTCTAAAAGTATACAAGAAATTAGAAGTTGGAATGAAGGTAAAGAGAGAAGTCTGAATGGTGCATGGTTTCGGCCGCCATCAAATAGTTGGAAACATAATGTAGATAGATCATCATTGGCAAACCAAGCCTGCAGATATTGGAGAAGTAAAGGCTTTTATTGTTGCATCAGTTCGAATTAGTGAAACGAAGTTTGGGACAATTGTTACAACAGGCAGATATAAATAGTGCAATCTGGCTTCAAAATTGCAATATCCTTGGTAAAGAGGAAAGATACATGTCTCTGGAGCTCGTATAGTATGTTTGGACAAGGTAATTTTAAATTTTAGAAAAAATATTGAAATGCATCAAATCAATTACCTTTATATTTAAGTTTTTCTTGTTTGCATATAGTAAAACATTATTCATTGTTAAACTTTGGTGGCTATTTTTATAAAATTTTAATAAGTTGAAGAACCAATTTGCATAAATTGATATTTGCCAACAAAAGTTGCAGGGACTAATTTTTAATATTTAAAATTTTGCAGGGATAAATTTACTTTTTTTTGAACATTTGTAAGGACACATTCTTAAAATGAAACATGATGGATTGATTTTGCAAAATTTGAAAAATTTCTTAAAGTTTAATTTGAGATTCAAATTGTATTAAGGTAATTTGAGATTCTTAAAAATTAATTTGATAAAATTACCAAATGGTTTGCTTCATATTAATTTTACCAAATAGTTTAAACTTAAAAATTATTTAAGATTCACATGATACAAATTAATTTGATGAAAATTGCCGAATAGTTTAAAAATTATTTGGTAAAATAAACTTTTTAAATTTATTTTGAAGTTTAACATCATAGATTTATCAATTGATCTATTTACTAAATATATTATAGTGAGTTATTATTAAGATAGATTAATAACATCATAGTTGAACTTTAAAAAAAAAATTATTTAACAAATAATTTTTGTTTGGTTAGGGAATCTGAGTTATTGGTGAATTGTTGACGTGGATTCTTAATGTTACAAATCTTTCATGCAGAAATTTGGAGGTGGAGGTGGATATGCAATATTAACCGTTGAAGCGGTAAAGTGGCAAATAAAAATATTTTTGGAAGAATTCCTTTTGAGATTTCTCTCGTCTCCATAGCAATCGGTTTGAGGGAAAGAATGTCGTTCGACAATTTTCACATATCTAAATTTGGGTTTTAAATAATTCTCCAAAGGTAACATGCAGAAATTAAACGCATAAAAGCAAATAAATAAACACATTCTTTAAAAGGGAGAAACTCATCAGGAGTTGCGTTTCCTTATACTCATCATGTACGAGAAAAAAACTATCGATCAAATGCACTCAACTTAATACTCGTCAAAACTTCCATGTATCGCTCACAAATGGAGGTTATGTCTAACGCAAAGTCTGAGAGATCAACCGCGTTCTTTTAAAAGTGATATCTCACATGACAAAACAACACAGTGCATTAAGCTCAGACACACATGCGTGAATATTTAGACCATTTTCTATAGCTAGTAGATCATCATCTTAGGTCGAGTTTGAAAAGTATATGTCTACAATGATCCAAACCCATTAAGATAGATATTAAATCAAAGAAAAAATCGATTAAGATTTGTAAAAGGGATTTTATACACAGATCCATAGATGAACATACAATCTAAGTAAGCATACATATAAGAACTCCAACACAATGAAAAATACAAAGAGAAGAAGGAAGAAGAATAAATTTCTCACGGTTTGTCATCTCCAATTGAACTTTTCACAATTTGTCATCCCTGATTGAAGTATGATTTAGCTCTGAATCATCTAAATGCATCATCTATGTGTTGTTTCTAAACTAAAACTACTAAAGAATATGGTTCTAAGCAATTGGGTCCAAAGGTTCCCAAAAAATAATCTAAATAAAATCTGAAAAATGTGACGTTATAGGCAAAAATGGGTTCCCGTGCGCGAACTCTGATTTGCACTGCAAACATACCAAACATAGCTACTGCCTAAAATAGTGTTTTTCCATGCTTCTGGGAAATTTTTGTTCGCCTTGGGTTCACTGGGCGAACTCTTGACAAGCTCGCTCGCCTCCAGTTCGCACAGCTAACATGACAACAAACTCAGAACTTGTTTTGACCATAACTTGAGAACTATAACTCCGTTTTACGCACGGCCGGAAGCGTTGAAAAGCTTATTCAATGCTCTATAAGACAATGGCAAGTAAACTACAATGAAATTCTAAAGCAATATTGTCGCACCTCGAAAAATCACGGAGACATTTCGGAGAAAACGACCCTCGCGCGAAAGGCGCGGAAATGCGGTTCGACAGAGTCGCCACCGAACTTTATTTTTCCCGAATAAACGGGAGAGGAAAATATCGAGAAAACCTCCTAAAGTGAAAGGATAGGAACAGGGCTGTCGCAACCAAGTTCCGGGTTCGGGAGTCGGTTACGTGAGGGGAAGGTATTAGCACCCCTCACGTCCGTCGTACTCGACGGGAACCTCTTAAGGTAAATGTGGGGAGTGTTGTTTAGGTTTTCTTGTTTTCTTCTCGTTATTAAAGGTAGAATCGGTAGGTTAACAGGATAAAGACGCTAAGGGGAGATGGATGGTTAGAGAATAGGGTGCTCGCCAAGGATTGGGGCCCTTGTGCCTACGTATGCTCATTCGGACGAGAATGAGAAATCAGAGCGTCGTAGTTCGACTACGGGAAAGGATAGGGGAAGTGGAAGATAAAGGGAATTGTGGAATGGGGAAGAAAAATGGAAGTGTGCTCGCCAAGATCATCGCGACCTTGTGCCTACGTATCTTACATTCAAGAATGAATGAAGAATCAGAGCGTCTGTAGTTCGTGGTAACAACCACGAAAGATGAGGTTGAATAAGTTGGAAATTTGAGAAAGAGACGAAAGAGTGACTGACAAGCAACCCAAGAGCACGCCTCAAGAGCTTGTCACTCAAGAATTCAAGGAATGCGAGATTTCAAGAACTCAGTTCTTTCGGGAATTGACTGAATAAGTTGAAGATAAAGAGTTGGATGTTTTGAAATCGAAAGAATGAACTAATAACAACTCAAGGGCGCGCCTTGAGAGTTACTCGTTCGAATATTCAAAGAATGCTTGATTCTGAGAATATCCCTCTTTCGTAAGTTTTAAAAATGTTTGTGAAAGGATCGAATCGAAAAAATGGCATGCGAGGCCAAAAGGAAGTTGTTTTGAAGTAGCTCGACGACGTGTCGAGGATTTGATTGGAAATGGAACCGACTTGACAACGTGTCAAGTGTTAGGATTGTGAGAAATGATATTAGTCCCTGAGGGTGCCCCTAATATCAAAAACCACGAGGAGTTGTGAATGAAATGGGTTGCGAATGCGGACGAGCATTCGACTTAGGAGAATGTTTGAAAATGATTGAATTTGAAAGAGTCGAAAGGTTGAGTGAATAACAACTCAAGAGCGTGCCTCGAGAATTATTCACTCGAAGACACAAGGAATGCTAGATTCCAAGTACCTCCTTCTTTCGAAGTTTTGATCGAAAAAAGACGTTAAGAATGTGTTTGAGAAAATCAAAAGATTGAATGAATAACAACGCAAGAGCGTGCCTCGAGAATTATTCACTCGAAGATCCAAGAAATGCTAGATTTCAAGAATCTCCCTCTTTTGGAGTTTTTTCGAGGAAAATGTTTAAAAGATAATTTGAAGCGAAAGTGACATAGTCTTGACTGAATTATCATCTATCAATAATTTGACCGATAATAATCATTAAAGTCACCATTGACTAGGGAATAAGAAAAAGTGGATAAAAAACAAAAATGAAAGTTTTGAAAAGAAATGGTCTCGGGTTTGTTATTATCTGTCAATAATTTGACAAACTATAACTCGGGGTATCGTCATCGACCGAAATAAAAAAGGAAGTTGAAAAAGAAATAAGAAAGTAAAATAATAATAATAATAAAAAAACTAAATGATAATGAGGGAGGTGCAGAAACCAATTGA